TGTTTAAAATACAGAATTCCAGTAAGGTATTGTGTAACGGTGGCTAGTTAAAAGATGCATAAGGTTTTTGTGTTTAATTGGCTGTGGTAGAACATGTAGTTATGTCTGATCATTTATCCATTCTGTTGATTATTTTTATCTAAGACATGGGTAAATATGTGATCCTAAATATAGAACATCTTATCGATGTTTGTATATTTAGTTGTAGAAAATAGGCATCCAAATATTCCATGCACTACTTCTCTTATACACTTACAGTCGTATAAGTTGGGTTTATCAATATATAAGTAAATGAACCATTTATATAAATAGCTGTTCTATTCTCTCTATGGGTAGCTAATCCATTGAGAGAACTATTAATATTAAGTTTCTCTTTCTTATATTTCTTGATTTGATCGGAGAAGCTTCTCTTCCCGACCGGTGATATCGTAACTCAGTGGTATAGAATTCTATATCCAACTGTCATTCGTATATCGATTTTAAGCCAATCATGCAATCTTTTTATATAGAAATATGTACTCATAGTAGGAGTCGTTGTGTAGCAGTATACAGGTGTATGCTGTTACTCAATATTAAAGGATGTTTTTATTCCATGTTTTTATTTTATTCGATTTATTTGTTTATTCTCAAATAAATCATACCCAAATACGACAGTAATTCGGACTGTTCTTTTTTTTTTTTTTTTTTTTTTTGCGCGGCCAAGCGAAGCGCAGGTCGAAGCAACAGACATGTATGAGTATAATAAACACCTACTGAGCTGGGAGGGGCTGTAAGTCCCGACCAACACAGTACACAAAACATTGAATGAAAAAATAATGATTAGCATTGAATGAGCTGGGAGGGGCTGTAAGTCCCAACCTACATAGTACATAAAACATTGAGTGAAAAAAGTAATGATTAGCATTGAATGAGCTGGGAGGGGCTGTAAGTCCCGACCAACACAGTACATAAAACATTGAGTGAAAATAATAATGTTAGCATTGAATGAGCTGGGAGGGGCTATAAGTCCCGACCAGCACAGTACACAAACCATTGAGTGAAAAAATAATGATTAGCATTGAATGAGCTGGGAGGGGCTGTAAGTCCCGAACAACACAGTACATAAAACATTGAGAGAAAAAAATTGATTAGCATTGAGTGAGCATAAAACGTTGAGTGAAAAAAATAATGATTAGCATTGAATGAGCTGGGAGGGGCTGTAAGTCCCGACCAACACAGTACACAAAACGTTGAGTGAAAAAAATTGATTAGCATTGAGTGAGCTGGGAGGGGCTGTAAGTCCCAACCTACATAGTACATAAAACATTGAGTGAAAAAAATAATGATTAGCATTGAATGAGCTGGGAGGGGCTGTAAGTCCCGACCAACACAGTACATAAAACATTGGGTGAAAATAATAATGTGAGCATTGAATAGGCTGGGAGGGGCTATAAGTCCCGACCAACACAGTACACAAAACATTGATGAAAAAAAAATAATGATTAGCATTGAATGAGCTGGGAGGAGCTGTAAGTCCCGACCAACACAGTACATAAAACATTGAGTGAAAAAAATTGATTAGCATTGAGTGAGCTGGGAGGGGCTGTAAGTTCCGACCAAGGCCAAACTCTTTCTTTTGCACCAATTGTCTGATCATACCCGTTTTCACGCACGGTCAACTTTATGTTGCTTTATCACGGGTCCGTAACCCTGCTAATCTCAAAGTAATGTTACTGAAAGGGCAGTCATTTTCAAGACTCACAGACAACGTTGTATTTACTGAAGTACTAACTCGAACACAAAATTAAACATAAAATATTTATTATCAATAAAATCTATTTTTGTCCCATTTATAAACATTGAGTGGCGTCGGTGGCCCGCTGCAGGCGCGAGATCGCCCCCAGCATGAACGTAGGTTATTTTTACCGTAGCGAAGCGAAGGTCAAAAAATTACCGAAGTGGGCTGGGGCGGCGATCTCGTTAATATATAAAAATAATAGGAATTAGGAATTGTAAAAAACGGTCACAAAGTTACGAATTTTTTGAGGGGGTGCGGGGGTTTCCCCCGCAAGAGGGGTGGGGGGTTTGGGGGGAGGGGGAACCCCTCCACCCAAGAATACGGCCCATATTATTTAGCATTAAATTGTTACCTTCTGAAAAACAATACTCCTTTTTTTTTTACAGCGCTGTGTTTTTAAAGCATGATTTTTTTATGGCGTAATATTTCTGAGCCGAGATACAAAATTAGAGGATGGGAAAACCACTCCTCCCAAGAATACGACCCATAATATTAAACGTTAGACTAAAAAAAAGATCGTATATAAAAACTGATTGTTTGGAGAAAGTCATAATATAAAAAGTGACTTTTACGGAAAAAATCATTGCAAATAAAATTGTTACTATGGGGTTTTCGGGGAGGAGGTTACCCTCCGGCCCAGTATAACAACCAATAGTATTAAGCATTATATTATCGAGTTTAGAGAAACAGTCTATGAACACTATTTCACAAACAATATGTCCTTATTCGAGAACAACTGGAAAATTGATTGTTTTAGGTCGATGAAGGGGTCGCCTTTGAAATTAATATTTTGGATTATCAAGTCTTTCATTATGAAACAAAAACACTGCGCATAGAATAGCTAATCAGATAAATAAACAATTAATACTTTTTGCGTAGATCAACTTTCCTGCCTGGGTCTAGGGATATCGTCTTTTTCCAGATATTTATACATATATTGAGAAAAATCAAAGTTTTCTCCAGTATCAAACTAATAATAGGCAGTGTAGCTTAAGTTATAATGGTGCATGGGCTTCATAATTAATTAATATATGTTAAGTTTGTTATTTCAAAAACAGGCCTGCGGCAGCACGAGGCTTTTTCAAAGCGCAGCGTACCGAACCATAGTGCAGGTCAAAAATTTACCGCAGCGCAGCGAAGGTCAAATTTTTACCGAAACGGAGGTTTGGTTTGAAAAAGCCTCGTTAATATATAAAAATAATAGGAATTAGGAATTGTAAAAAACAGTCACAAAGTTACGAATTTTTTGAGGGGGTGCGGGGGTTTCCCCCGCAAGAGGGGTGGGGGGTTTGGGGGGAGGGGTTCCCCCTCCACCCAAGAATACGGCCCATATTATTTAGCATGAAATGGTTACCTTCTGAAAAACAATATTCCTTTTTTTTTTACAGCGCTATGTTTTTAAAGCATGATTTTTTTTATGGCGTAACATTTCTGAGCCGAGATACAAAATTAGAGGATGGGAAAACCACTCTTCCCAAGAATACGACCCATAATATTAAACATTAGACTAAAAAAAAAGATCATATATAAAAACTGATTATTTGGAGAAAGTCATAATATAAAAAGTGACTTTTACGGAAAAAATCATTGCAAATAAAATTGTTACTATGGGGTTTTCGGGGTGGAGGTTACCCTCCGGCCCAGTATAACAACCAATAGTATTAAGCATTATGTTATCGAGTTTAGAGAAACAGTCTATGAACACTTTTTCACAAACAATATGTCATTATTCGAGAACAACTGGAAAATTGATTGTTTTAGGTCGATGAAGGGGTTGCCTTTGAAATTAATATTTTGGATTATCAAGTCTTTCATTATTAAACAGAAACACTGCGCATAGTGTCGTATTTGACGCCTAATTCCACGAATATAATTACTTTTATCTTGTCACTCAATTATAATACATATAACCTATGTATTATAAAGTACCATACTGCGAATACATTCCTATTGGTACGACACAGTACCAGCTCTCTCGTATGTCAAACTGAGATCAGATTTCATAATCGTTCCTGGATTGGTCGAGTAGCTGCTGTTGTATCGCAGATGTATTGAATCATAGAAACAATAGAAATCCAATATTAGATCTCAGTAGACAGACTGGAGATCGTAATCATGGAAAGATTGTTATGAACGAATAAGAATACATGGGTAAACATTTATTCAATTCAAACGGATAAACGATTGAATAGTAAATCCCGATTGGATCTACTATTAGTTTAGACACAGCTTCGTAAAAGTATAAATACGAGCTCATTCAACTCTTAATAAAAGGTTATCTTTACTTTGATTACTTTTAAAGACCCATTTGATATCTACGATATTTCAGCTGCCAAATCTTCTAGTTTCTCATAAATTTATTTTAGTAATCCAATCAAGGACCCTTTCATTGAATGGATAAACTATAATGCTCTAGAAGTGCCGGATATGGGTCAACTAGCTCCTTGTATATAACAATAAGCTATGTTTCATATGTAACTGATTTCTAAATCTAATTCTACCATTTCCCAGTTTGCGGGTAAATACTCAATTCGATCTGCGAGGAAAAATCTTGAAGTAATAATTGAATATAAAAAGGACCTCTATTTTTATCATGACAAACTCTCCAACTTATAATAAAAGATCATAGAGTCTCATTTCTTTACTTGCTTTATTTTCCAACTTACATTTCCCTTTTTATTTCTCAATTATCACACATAGAAAAGCTAATCAGATAAATAAACAATTAATACTTTTTGCGTAGGTCAACTTTCCTGCCTGCGTCTAGGGATATCGTCTTTTTCCAGATATTTATACATATATTGAGAAACATCAAAGTTTTCTCCAGTATCAAACTAATTATAGGCGGTGTAGCTTAAGTTATAACGGTGCATGGGCTTCATGGTTAATTAATATATGTTAAGTTTGTTATTTCAAAAACAGGCCTGCAGCAGCACGAGGCTTTTTCAAAGCGCAGCGTACCGAACCATAGTGCAGGTCAAAAATTTACCGCAGCCCAGCGAAGGTCACATTTTTACCGAAACGGAGGTTTGGTTTGAAAAAGCCTCATTGTTTTTAAAAAGCTTCGTTTTTATAATTTTTACACAAAGAAGACGCCGAAGATTTTAATGAAAATGACGAAGTTTTAGTCATAATTGATAATGTTACTGAGTCAGATACCAATGATAACGATGTCAAAGACCTATCAGCCAAAGAGATTAAAGCTTTGTGTGCAGTATGCACAATGTTGATTACGTCCCCTTCCATCGAAGGAAATGTAGACGCAGCCTATATCAAAAAGCAACTTTATTACGATAAGCAAGAACCTATACCCTCCCATGCATTAGACACTTCTGCTGGAATAGTCAACGAGTTACGACTAATAAGTTGTAAAAAAGATGAGAAAAACGCTTTCAGATTTTTTCAGATGCGCAAAATCAGAAACTCATTGGTCACGTTTATTGGTCCGACAGGTACAAGATTTAAGGAAAGTCGAATGTTTCCAAAAAGGTCGAAGAAAAGCAAAAGATGTCTATCAATGTTGATGCCAGGATTTTATATCTTTTATTTGCTAAAGAGTACAACATTTTCAAGCTCGATGGTGTAAATATGTTTACGAGTTCGGCCACAATCAAGTTCATAGAGGACAAGAGAGTGATTTTTTCAAACGTTTTTAATTTGAACATGATGGAAAGAATTATCCAGGAACAAAAACTAACCCCAATGTATTCATTTAAGTTTTGTCATAAGTACAGCTTAAACTTTCTTGGGTATAAAAACTTGCAAAAGGAAGAAGTGCCGCAAATTATTTCTACAGGTAGTTTCACCTCTTTGGATAGTAATACAGAAAATATGAAACTGAAGGTCGAACGTCTTCACAAAGAAATCAAAGAAGAAAAAGTGTTGAGGATGTCATAGATTATAATAAAAGAATCATCACATTTACATAATAATGGTTGATCATGTATAAATATTCATGGCTCACACTTCGCCCCATTTGTTATCATCAGAACCGTTGGTGTCTGTGCACAAGGTGATTCGCCTTGTGACGAGTAAAATACTATAATACCATAAAAGTATAGTACAATCCCATAGGCGGAATATTCGGTTACTGAATATTACACGCACTAAACTTTCTCTTTGGCATTTACGTAATGTCACCTGAGGAGATGAATTTAGATCCTCACGTACTTTTGTCTTTACTTTGTAAGGCAAGAATTACTTCATTACATATTTATTTAAACAGAAATTACGTATAACATTATATCATATTCTTCTAACGCGTCACATATATTATCCGAAAGCCATCTAATCATTTAGTATAAATACCTGTAGTTTTTGCTAGTAGAATTCCCTAATCAAAATTTTTTCGAAATAAAAGATATACACAGTTCTAACAGTATTTTCTTTTGTTACCTTAAGCTACATTTTATCTCCATCCCAAACAAAAATCATTGCAAGTCCGCCTGAGTAAAAACGTTCGTTAAATAGAAAATACTAGAATGGATCTTGGCCAGGCCTTTAAAAAAAACCAAAAGTTAGGTACAATGACTTGTGATTCAGACCTCTATAGAAACTTGAAGACTATCCGCAAGGAATTTAACGCAGTATACAGTCAACTTCTTTCCCTGAATAGGTCAATTAAGATTAAGAGCTCAGAAATGTATGACTTAAACAGAGGGATACATAGTCAGAATGAACCAACCCCAACAGCTGGTATACCTCTTTCGGAAAAATCACAAAATGCCATCATATTAGGCCAAGCAATTATCCAAGGCTTAGATCCGGGTGTTGTAACAACTGCTTCTGTACGTGCAACCAAATCTTCTTTGTTTCGGAGTATTAATAGATATAGCACACTGGAGAGTCTGGAAGATTGTGATCATGATGTCGAAAATGAAGTAACCTTTGAACCGACTGTCGTATTTGGGTACGATTCACTTAAGAATAACTAAGCAAATCGTTTAAATAAATAAACTATGAAATTAAAACAATCTTTGATGTTGCATATCAGCATAGGCTTGTATACTGCTATACAACTTCTCCTACTTCGAGTACATACTTCTTTATCAAAGATTGCATGATTGGCATAAATATGATATACGAATGACAATTGGATACAGAATGCTATACCACTGAGTTACGATATCACCGATCGAGAAGAGAAACTTCTCAGATCAATCTAGAATTATAAGAAAGAGAAACTTAATATTAATAGTTCTCTCAATGGATTAGCTACCCAGAGAGAGAATAGAACAGCTATTAATATAAATGGGTCATTTACTTATATATTGATATAATTATACTGCTGATAAAGAGTATAAAGAAATAGTGTATGAATTAATGGATACCTAGCTTCTACAACCAAATATACAAATATCGATAAGACATTTCATATTTGGGATCGTATTTTATTCATTACAAAGATAATGAATGAATGATCAACTATTATGCTCTATTGCCAATTACACTTGACAAACAAGTATGCATCTTTTACAGTAACCGTTGCATGATCTGATAAATAAGTGTCTCGTAATACTAAAGATTTATTAGAATACTCATGCTCCCGATCCACTGATATGGGATAACGTTATCTGGAAACAATTCTAACGAGTAGTATCCATTTAACCCAAGGCGGAAAACAAAGTATAGATCTATTCCAAAACCAAAAAGGTTGACTCATCATTAAAACTCAGGGGAGTTGTGCAATATAAAAAGGATCAATTATTTCATAGCAGCAGAGTTCTTTAGTCTATTTTTACCCTAATAAAAATATTCGTTTTATCTCATTATTTTCATACGTGCATTTTATCAAATATCACAGACAAGATTCATTTATTTAAAGGTCTTACATCTGGCCGTCAACAATAAGAGATTAGGGTGCCCTAACACGATAGCATTTCAAAGGGCAGAGTTTCTACATAACCAATAATGTTTACCGTACAAAACTACGTCTATGATATGAGTTTATGATATTGCAATGTCTATAATTACTTACTGTATTTTTATTAAAATGAAATAGGAAAGAAAAGGAAAGAAGAAACGGAAAGAAAAGGAAAGAAAAGTAAAAAATAAAAAGAAAAACTTAAATAGAAACTTTTTTTATTAAAACTCCCTATCTCCCGCTACGACTACGATTGGGCAGTATCAACCCATCACGTTCTGATCTTCTTTTGGCTTTCTTTCGAGCTTCAGAATCAGAGCATGACGAGGATGGAGAAAGTCGAGCGTGTGGCAAAGAGATAGAGAGTGCTGGAGGGGAAGATAAGGGCCGGGGAAGAGGAGGGGAGGAGACATCATTGAGAAATTCGAGAGATAAAGCTACGAATTAAGAATAAAAATAAAGAAATTTGACGAAGTAAAATTATCAAACTGCAAAAATAAACTAAAGTCTTTATTATACAATAAATTGGGTTCTTTATATACATATTCAGGGCTGGCTGAATATCAATCATTAAAGTGAAACCTGTCAAATATACAATAGGCGTATTGTCAATTGAAGATCGAGCATCTCATGGTACCTTCGAGAATCTTGTTATTGACGAGCGATCATATCATTGGATTGTATTATCTGGAATAAATGTACGACTATTGTTTTCTATATGTTGATGAGTAATCAATGCGTAGTAAATAGAGTGTAATAGCATGTATTTGATTTAAAGAGTAATGCAATAATGATTTATAGAAAGGTTATCAAATAAGAAAGAAAGAATTGATGATAGAGTTATATCTGTATAGAAGCTCGATCACAACAATCATCTGCGATAGAAAATGGAGGGAACTCGGTCGATGGTTGTTGTTCTTCCGACCTATCTGACATTCGGTCATCCATGTCTTGACAGGCCTGCTCCTCCTCTTCATCCTCTTGGGTTTCGTAAGATCCAGTCTGACGAACTGATTCCTTACAAAGCCGGTCCAGGTAGCTGGTCATGGATAAAGAACTTTGCAATCCATCTGGCTTGGGTCTCTGTTGACAAATTGTGATTAATAACATATTACGAAACTATAGACACCAATATTACTTACAGTCTTTTTGGCATTTCCCAAGGAGTAAATCACCATGTTTTTAGAAATCCAGTTATTTATTGCCATATGAGTAGGTACGACAGGACTACTGACAGTCAGGTCAAACATTCTTCCCGACCCCATTGGAATACCAGGCTGGCCGTCATAACAATTCCAATTGTAGAGTATACGCTCAAGAGTATAGAGGACGTTTTGATGCTGGTTAGGCTTTTTAACGTCTGACCAACAGTAACCATCAACTCCGTAATTACTCCCAAAATATACACTCAAAAAGGTACCCGTAATATGAAACGTATTGTTGTACGCCAACTCAGCCTTCTTCTTGAACATTGGATCTCTTTTCTCCTAATTAAGCAAGTCAAAATCATCTTCGTTGGCAAGGCTCCTGAAGTATTTCTTCGTCTCCTCCTTCACGGCAGAAACAAGGTAAGGTTTAACGACAGGTATCGTTCTTTCACCTAGGGAGTTCCAATTACCATAGATACCATGAGCCCGATCTTGCGCATCATAGTATCGGATGGCTCTTGCAATGCACTCCCTGAACCTGCGTTCGTCGTTTTCTTGCTCTGTAATGCAAATAAATAAAATATGATGGTCAATAAAAGTATTACCGGCCTCTTTTATTATAAAAATCTTACCATAAACAATGTTCGATCCAGTGATTGTAGCCCTTTTGGTTGACATGGCTTCACGATTGCCATTTGAGAGAGCAACAGATACGGCCATGGTTACTACTTGGGGAATCTTGCTGATGGTTTCAGTGAGAGTGTTGATCGTTGTTTTTAAGGAATCAACCATTTCTTTCGATGATTCGATTTGTTCTTGCATGTCACGAGTGTGATAATTTGAGTATAAAAGGGTAGAAAATAAAAGATAAAAATAAACAATTAAAGAAATGAGACTCTTTAATCCTTTATTATAAGTTGGAGAGTTTGTCATGATAAAAATAGAGGTCCTTTTATATTAAATTATTACTTCAATTAATTTCTGCGTAGATCGAATAAACATTTCCAGAGGCTGGGAATTGTTGGATTTGAAATATAAATCAGTAACGACATGAAACATAGCTTATAAAATATAGTTATGTAAGCCTATGGTTGTATGTCCGGAATTTCTAGCAGAGAAATCATTTATCCATTTAGCAATATGTGCGATGATTGGATTACTTGATTACTCATCGTAGGTGCTAGAAGGAACCGCAGTAAATCAGCTAACCGGGGTCCAATGTAGGGTATGATTTCCAGTTAGAAGATTATGAGAACTGGTACTGTGTCTGTTATAATATATGAAGTATATTATAACTCAAGACAGATTAAATAGTAATTGTATTCGATTTATTTATGCGTCAAATACGACAACGAGCTTGATAAGAGGGATTGCTAGGGTTCATTTTTTAATAATAAAAAGTTGGAATAAAATAAAGTTGTTAACATGGATAGATAAATATATTTTTCTTATATAAATGAAAAACCGCCCTGATGGTTAGGCCGATTCGAGGTGTCTTACAATTTTAAAAAAAGATGTTCTACTCGTCCAATGATTTCAAACAACCCGTCCTGGATCAGCCGATCAGGAACACTCTTTCATTGTTCTATTTGAATTGCGACAGAACCAGTAAGATAGCAGACGTCTTTTGCATCCTGTTCAATTGGTTACGGCTAAACATAATGGCTGTATCTCATCCTTTTTCCAATCCTTCAACTGGGTAAGATATGATCCTAAATATTAAGCACCAAATCGATATTTCTACATAAAACAAAAAGGTATAAATAATTCGTATAAAAAAAAAGGTTTGATATACTTCCTTTCGACAATCACAAAATTATATTTGAACTATAAACAATGTCTGCCCCCAATAAAATTCAGAAGCTTCAGGTCTTACGTGTCCCCAGAAGTGGTTTAACTAAGCCTCTTTTGCGAGGTATTTTCAATGAACATCGTACTGGTCCCACTTTGCCTGATGTTACTGGTCCCACTTTCCCTGTTGTTACTGGAGCTACTGTATCTGAAGATAATGGAGCTATTGTATCCGAAGACAATAGAGCATTTGGATTTGAAGATAACGATATAGGGATGTCGGAATATGGTGCTTTTGATATGTCGATTGTTAATCAAGAAGTAACACAAATGCTAATCGACCAGGAAGTACGTCGAGAGGAGGAAGAGCATGACCGATATGCCGAAGGTGAGATTTCAGACATAGAAGATGAACACATTGAAACCGAAGATATGCAAAGAGCGAATAATTATATGTTTGAGTCTACAACAGAAAATGTCGATATGGAAGAAAGCACAGAAGGTAAATAATATATTATTTGGTCAAATATTCCACACCGCAAAATTTCAAGAACGATTTATTAAAAATTGACCGCAATCGCCATGATTGCGGTCAAAAATTGACCATATCGCATTTTTGGCGATAATATCCAATTTTGACCGCAATCGCCTAAGTTTAACTCCGAAAAAAAAACAAATAGCTTCAAATATTGATTTTGCTATCCTTAGAGGTTAAAAAATATTTATTAGAATAATTTAGTCGAAAAAAATAGTTCTTTACGACAATTATTGATGATTTTATAAGAGAAACAAAACGGATGATTTGGTTCATGGACTGGGTTTGAGATTTTGTATCACGTCAGATATTTTTTTTTTATTTTGTATAAAAAAAATCTTCTATTTTTTCTTAGAAATAGAATCTTTTCTTTTCTTTCCCCAACAATATTTTTTTGTATTTAGCTTTGATGTATGTGTATGACAATACAATTTTTTTTTTTTGTAAATATAGAGGTGTCCAGCCCCCATCCCATCCCTAAACATAAGGTAAACCAGTTAGTGGACTTCTGGCATCCGTGAAGTTAAGTTCAACATTCTTCTGTGCAACTAACTAAACCTGCTCTTTTTGATTGTAACCATTTAATTGTAGTGTAAGCCAGTGATTATATTTGATTGTATTATACTCTAACACTGTAGTCTATAGATATAATGCATAGAAAACTCTCGCTAGGCTAGGCTAAGGTAAATAAATAAGTGATTGTGACCTGTGTAAGCTACCCATTAATAATTTTAATTCTAGATATGTAGCTTTTCTATTCGTATAATACTCTTACGTATCAATACAAAGCACGCGATCGGATAAGGTAAATAAAATAGCACTGTAATCTACATAAGCCACCCACTAATATTTTTAATTTTAGGTATGTAGCTTTTCTATTTGTATAATACCCTTCCATTTTACCTGTAATTTCACCTCATAATCCATAATCCCTTTTGCCGTTATTATTTTATAAACATTTAATAAAATTATTCATAACATAAACACATAACTGTTCATAATACAAGGGTATAAAATTTGATAAGCAAGGGCTAATTTAAGGATACCGCTGAAATACGGCCAAAAATAGTATCGCATTCTTAATAAATACGGCCAAAAACTGTAGAAATTGATCGCATTCGCGAAGATTACGGTCAAAAAGTGAAGAAATTGATCGCATTCGCGAAGATTACGGTCAAAAAGTGTGAAAATTGACCGCCATCGCCGCGATTACGGTGAAAAAAATGACCGCCATCGCGGCGATAGCGGTCAAAAATTCATCGCATTTCTGCTGGTTATTATTTGATCAAAAATTGACCGCGATAGAAATTTTGCGGTGCCATGGTGTACCTAATATGTTTGGAATTGCATATAGTTGTGCACAATAGTGGTGATGATCAAGATGGTCCCGTTATCAAGAATGTCATTATACCGGATTATCCATTCACCAAAGATGAGCTTGATAGTTTGCAATTTACTTATCTCTGTATCAACAATAATATGACGGTCCAGTCTATAAGGAATATGAAAACGTTTATCGAAATGATACTTAACCGAAACAAAACACGTAAGTCAAGATAGTACATTTTGTCAAAGTTTTTCCACTTACCTTTTTGGCGTATTAGACGTAGTTTACGTAGTCAAGTAGCCTGAGAACTGGATAAAAATCATCAAAAAGTTACCATATACGGAATAAAAAATCACCATATATGGAACACATATAGAGTAACTGAAAACCCTTCATTTTGACCTCTCTTAAATAAAACAAGTACCAAAATATGCCAAAAGATAAATTGACAAAGAGAGACAAAGGAAAACAGAAAGATCTGCGAAGGATTTCAACTTCTGAAAGAATTGAGAATGACAAACCAGTCAATTGCAAAAAACTTTTCATCAGATTAAGAAGACCAACAGAATCTATTGAAGAAGGTGAATCCTCAAAAAACAGAGAAATTCATAACAAAGACAACGATTTTGAGCAATCTAATGAGACTAGCAGCGTTTCAAATAAGCTCATTTTAAGATTGCCCAGACATGTTACGGAAACTAGCAGCATTTCAAATAAGCTCATTATTAGATTGCCCAGACAAGTTACGGAAACTAGCAGCATTTCAGATAAGCTCATTATTAGATTGCCCAGAGCTCCTTTGAGAGCCGAAGCCGAGATCAATACAAAACTTGGTGAATCTTCAAAGATTAGTGAAGACATTGTGCCTGCGTCTGCTGAACATACAAGTACCTCAAACAATCTTACCATAAGATTACCCAGAGATGTTTTTGAAGTGATTGCCGAGATCAATAGAAAAAGGCCACGTCCTAGAATGAATGATCTCGAATCGTCTGAAGATGAACAACCAACCGAGAATAGTAATGAAGGTATGGGAAGGTTTAGACTGGACACCGAGGAATCTCCGAGAAGACGAGAAAGCCAGCATACAAACAGTGAAACAATTAGACCAGAAAATGATCGTCCCGAAACGCGACGTGAGTATCAGCGCAACTATCAACGACAAAGGCGTCAAGCACCTATTGTAAGCAGAAATGAAACACAATCAATACTGGATACTGCATTTAACTCTAAAGCAATTATTTAATAGGTTTCATCATGGGAGGATACTGGACGAAAGTATGAAAAAAGCATAAAGGAGGGACCAACTTTAGTTTGCGTATGTTGCGGAGGATTGTTTTTTCTCAAAAATGTATCCCTGGTTGATAAGGAGACAATGCTATCGAAATGGAAATGCGAAAGTGACGTTGTAGAGGTAGCATTTTGGGCCGTTGATAATCATAAATTCGAGGATTTAAACAACGTTACGATTATGAAAGATGGCAACCCAGAGAAGAATTATTTCTGTTCAACCTGTAAAGCTTCTATCAAAAAAAGCAGAGTACCAACAATCGCTTTAAAAAATGGTTTTCATTTTCCGGATAAAGTAGCATGTATCGATTCGTTAACAAGACTTGAAGAGCGTTTAGTATCCCCTCGACATGTATTTCAGTCAATTTGGTCACATAAAGGGCTTTTGGGACAATACAAAACCAAGGGAGGCATTGTTAACGTTGTGATAATTATGGGTCAAGAAATAAAATGAAACTTTTGATAACTTTATTGTTTTTTTATAATAATAAAAAGACAAGGAGGATCCGTCTAGTTGAATAGTTAATTTCTGCTTTTATATGAGGTTATTAGTAGTCACAATAATGTCAATTATTGTGGATTGTGATCGTGTAACCTAATTCGACTACGGTATAATATGGCTAAATACCACAAACGTTCCTGTTAATGTTGATACCACTGTGAGCTGTTTGCCTCGTAATTACGATTCTACTGGCATAATACATATCAGTTTAGCAAGAAAATTAATATTCACGAAAGATTACATAAAGGGTAAGGTCAGTCCTGTCAAAATATGGGATGCCGCCCTATATTTGCAATCCACACCTATATATGTCGAATATGATATTCAAATTGCAAATCAAAATGAATGGAATGAAAACAACATAAATACAAATGTAC